GACGGCAGGCAGGCCCTGAAGCCATTGAGGCGGTGAGTCTCTCCGGGTCCCCAAAGCCCCGGGATCTCGGAAGCAGCAGCTTTTGGAAACTTAAACGGACCCCCGACACACGCACTAGCCACTCAAAGCTGGGCCCTGCCGCGCCTCTCTCCAGGACAGCGGCCTGGCCTGTCTGAGGCTCCCCGCACACAGAACAGCCTGAAGTCGCATTGTTGTTCAGCCCATTTTATCGTGGGAGAAGCCGGTCCAGAGAAGTCACACCTGGAGCCGTGCTGCACAGCGAAGCGAGGAGGCTGGCCTCTCACTCCTCCCCATCACCTCCCTTCCCTGGGCATCGGGCCGGGCACTGAGCCCCAGCTTGACCTGCACGACCTCATTCAATCCCTGCATGACTCCCCGAGGCAGGCCCTCTCACTGTCCCCAGCACACAACTGAGGCAAGTGAGGGTCAGGTTGCTCCCTCACTGGTCCGAGGGCCGCGACCGGGAAGCAACACCTGGCTCCCAAGCACTCCTGGTCCCCACTGGCCTTCCTCCCTCGCCAGGGAGCTCACATCCTCTCCAGCAGTTCTGCCTGGCAAAGAGTCCTCTCAGCCTGGGGAAGAGCTGCCTGGTGGTCCTTTCGCACACAAAGACACACGCATGCACACGCGCGCACACACGCACACACCCCCCCCAGGCCGGAGCTGGGGCCGCTCTCAGCACAGGGCATCTGGGACACCCAAACACCCTGATCCCTAGCTAGCTAAAACACTACACTCAGCCGCGGGCCTGGATGTCTTGGGGACGCAGCTGTCGCTCGCCCTCGGCCAGGAAGGTGAGGAGGGCACGGGGCAGCAGGTGTACCCCCAGGCGCCGGCGCCGAGCCAGTGGCCAGCCCGCCACCACTCCATAGCAGTGCCCTTGCTTCTGGTTGGTCAGCATCCGGATCCCTGCAGAGATTGGGGGTGGGATCACAGGGGCAGCCTTGGGGATACCCCTCTAGCAGAAGTATGTGACAGCAGACCTAGTGGTGATAAACCAATGGAGTAAAATATGCGCATGTGCAGGTATGGGGTTGGTGCTCAAGAAGTGCCCACTGGACACATGTACAGCTCTGAAAGGGAAGGGGTGAGGGAAGCGGAGGATCAAATGCCCCTCATGGGACACCCACCCCACATGCCAGGCACCCACCTAGGGCATCCACAATACACGCTTCTCAAGTGTAAGCCTCGACGGCGACCACATGTTGAAAGCAATGCAGGGAGACAACACCACGACCACTGGCCCAGATGTCCAAGATCTGGCACACCTTGGGGCAGGCCAGGGCAGCGTCAGGGGTCGGCTCCCCCAGGCCCCTCCTTCCTCTACCCACCCACAGCCTGACTGCCCTGACTGGACCCTGATTCTTGCCCTCGCACCTGTTTCCTTGACCTCCCACGATGGCCAAGGGCCTCCCAAAGGTGGACATACGGTCGCACCCGTGTCCCCTTGCCCACGTAGAAGATGGCACGGACGAAAGTCTGAAGGCACTCAGTCGGGGTCAGTGAGAAGGCTTGCGCTGGTAGGTCCTGAGTCTCCCTGGGTGGAGAGACGGCCCCAGGACAGGCCCAGTCACAAAATAACTTGAGCCCATGTCCAGGGACCCTGCTTCTCAGGGCCACAGAGAGTTAGCTGCACCCCAACGACACTCAACACCTTTCTGGTTTTTTGAGGCAGGTCTCGCTCTGCTGCCCAGGCTGGAGTGCGATGGCACGATCACAGCTCACTCCAGCCTCGACCTCCTGGGTTCAAGCGATCCTTTCACCTCAGTACTGGGACTAGGCACCACTGCCACTTGTACCTAGCTAACTTTTTACTTTTTGTTTTGTTTTTTTGAGTCGGAGTCTCACTCTGTCGCCCAGACTGGAGTGCAGTGGCCGCTCCCGGCCACCGCAGCCTC